ATTAGTTGGCTGTCCCTTTTTCTTGGACTGAATCTTTATCATGCAAGCTTGTTGAAGATAAAAGGTCAGATGGGATGATGAGAGAAATACCACTCTGCTCTATACCTTTATGATCCTAACATGTGACAGGCCTTGTTCTGGGCTGGCCTGTATATGGTCTTGCTTAGAGCTAAAACAATAAATTACCCTATTACCTGGTGATGACTCACCCAAAACAAAAACTGCTTTATTTTACAGGAAAAGAATCCATGAAATTACAGGGAAACATCCTGTTTGCTATTTGTCTTTGTCTTTCAAAATTATTTCTGCTATCCCCAAGGCATAGTTTCTCAGTCTGGCATTCTCACTTTTGGTCTTTTGGGCTCACCATTCTCAGTGATGGACAGAAGGCACATGAGGCGAAGGCTTTCTATGGGTGACACCTGCACAGGAAGAAGGAATCAATGAGAACTGTAGTTTCGTAACGCATGTTCGTCTCTTCCTTCTGCTTGAGGCCAACCCCACCTCTAAACGCCGTCCTCAGCCCCCGAGCCCTGCAGCTGCTCACCTGCCGGTCGATGTGTTCCTCGATGTAGCTGGTGCTCTCCCGGATGCTGAAGCCCTCTAGCAGCGCTGTGAGTAATCAGAGGAGAGCCTGTTACTGGGATCAGCTCAGCTGTTCCCATCAATGCTAACACGCGTCTGTCTCCCCATCTCTTTCTCCATCCTTGGGGTGGATTAAGGGACCCCCAGGACTCTGGCAGGAACCAGCATTCCACACAGCCAGTGTCAGCTGGAAAGACCCAGAAACCATCTTTCAAGGGTGGGCCAGGGGCTGGGAGCTGGGGAGCAGAAGCAGGAGCAGGAGCACAGCAGGGCCGCTGCAGTTACCATGCTCGGTCTTGATCAGCTCCTGGAAATCCTGCTTGGTTTTCTTCTTCATGATGGATTCACAGGCCCCAATATCTGCAGATTGGACAAAAAGGGAGCTGACATATTCCTGGTTCTGGAAGGATGTCTCTTTATTGTCCAGAAGAATAAAAACCCCTTAAAGCAAAATCCAGATGCATTCTTCCCACTTTAGACCAAAGAGAGCCCATTATTTGCCAGATGAAGAGGGGTGTCCTTGGAGGCAGTGGTCCTCCACACCACGCCCCTGGAGGGATGTGGTCACTTCCCCTCACGCCCCTCAAGGTGAAACCTACGGAGACTCAGCAGGCGGTGCTCCTGTTTCAGACCCTTGAGCTCCTGGGACACGAAGTTCTTCATCTGCTTGATGTCCATGCCTCTCCGGCGCTGTGGGGAAGTCCCCATAAGGTCAACCGCCTGACCTGAGGCATGGGAAACCACCACCTTTCCTCAGTTGCCACCCACCCATGAGAAAGGACTGGGGCCCTGTCACCGTCTTAGAAGAGGAGCCAAAGGGCAGCAGCCTTGGGAAGCCACAGGAAACAAAAGAGGACCAGGGCTCACATCATACTGGGCCTGCAAGTTCCGGGCCTTCTGGCTCAAGAAACCAAAGACGTTGGAGAAATGCTCATTACGAATCTCATTAAACACCTGCAAGGAAAACGGGACAGGAACGACTTACTCTGGCAGAGCCATACCTGTTCCTTCCTGCCTCATCAGCATAATGCCAGGACAGGAACAGCACTTAGCTGTTCTAGCAGAAGCACAAAGAAGGCCGAGCTGGGATCAATAAATCACTGTTGAGTACCTACTATGTGTTCTGGGGTATTCTCTTAACTGGTGGGGAGACCCTCTCTCCCGTGGACTCTGCCTCCCTCCCAGAGCTGGGGCCCACGGCCTGAGGTGAGCAGTGGCCCTGGGGAATGCACTGCTGGCGCCGACACCCTCACCTTGTCCTCAGCATTGAGTAGCACCTTCAGGCTCTTGTCAGAGGATGTGACTTCTGGGCCAAAGTCGACACTCCCTTGGAGAGCAGAGGGGCAGGTATTAGGATCTCCAGTGAGGCCTTCTCCTACCCTTTCCTGAACTGCGGGTAAAGGTTCCCCAAACTATTTGGAAGCCAGCAGTTCGCTCAACGTCTGGGTCTCTCCCATAAGCCCTGCCCCCCTGTGGAAGGTACCAGAGGCTGATGACCGCTTCTATCTTGCCAAGACACAGTGGACCATGGCACTTACCACACTTGATGCGGAAGGTGTCATCCACCAGGCCCTCGTAAACCACTTGGGAGCAAAGCGCCGTCACAAAGTCCATGTCTGAAACCAAGATCCCCGACCATGAAGGCTCTCCCTGATCGTGCCTTCCGCCCAGTTAGTTCAATGTCAGCTCAAGTACTTCTCATAGGGCCCAAGTGCCCATACTCCTAATTAACGGGGGATTCACAGCCCTAACTGTAGCATCCTGACTTAGCCACCACTTTCCATATTCCTGCATCTGCTCGGGTACAAAGACGAGAGGAGTGCTGAGCATAATTTACCTCTGTCCAGGAGAAAGATATGTCCAATCTCTGGCCTTCGGCCCTTGGTTTCACCATCCTCCTCCTCCTCCAGTTTCCTCCACAATTCATATGACATCTGCCAGGGCCCAAGACATTCTCAATGTTGTATCCAGGTCCCTATTGCAGCCCCATACCTACAGAAGCCAACCCCTTCCATGTGATAATTCTCCTTGCCCCCAACAAGGGAGCTAATTATTAAAAATATTGCCCCATTCTCCCATCCGTGCCTATTCCTCCCACCCCTCTCCACACCAATAAAGAAGGAATATTACCTTGCCCCCCAAGAAAAAAAGAGATCTAGGAATGCTACCAAGGAGGCCCTGGCTCTTGCCTCTCTGTTAGCCACACAAGTTGTCTCTGAGGAACTATTCCGGAACAATAAAAGCAAAGTAAAGAATACACATCGTATCACAGATGCCCTTGGATGATCCTGGGCGGGTACAGAACGAGGGGAATAGGGGTTCTTAGGACAACAGAACTGCAGTGCTCTCACCTTGGCACATCTGCCAATCCCATAGCAGTTGGGAAAGGAACCATAGAGAGTGCTGAGAAGGTGTAAGGCCTGGGCCACAGTGTTGATCCAACGCTGATCTCCTTCCTGCAGGGACCACGTGGGCCACAAAGATACGAATCAACCGGACAGGCCCATCTGAAAAGTGGGTGGCCCTAGAAACCCCGAAGCAGGATGGCAGCATCTGGGGAATACTTGAAACAGTTCATTTTCATTGGCCACAAAGGAAGTCCCATGGAGATCAAGCTGTAGCACTCAATCATTATCACTCATGATAAATTATTTGAGCTGGACAAAGGTTAAATCAATATTTCTAGCCCACTGGACCCCATGTTTGTCCCCAGCCATTGATGCCAAGACCTACAGGCCCTGCATTTACCAGAAAGTAGTCCCTGAAGAATTCTGGTAGTTCCATGCTCAGCAGATCCACATCAAGAGGCAGCAGAGAGAAGGCCCATTCGTCACAGCTCACATCTGTGGGGACAGAAAGCATCAACTTCCCTGCAGAATGCACTCAGCTCCACATTAAGTGGGAGGGTTCACCACAGTCATGCAACAAACATTTAAGTGCCACACACCAGGTACTGTGTTAAGCACTAGAGACTTAAAAAGGAGTAAGACATGGTCTGTGCCCTTAAGGAGCTCAGAGTCTGATAATGAAAGGAGACATGTCCATAGCAGCCTGGAATAAAATGGGATAAAGTGCTAGGGAAACGTTCATTCAGCAAATATTAATATTTCCTGAAAGCCGCCTGCATGCAGGACTACGCTAAGCACCAGGGATACAGCAGGGAGCAAACGGACGTGCTCCTGATCTCCCAGAGTGTACGCCTCGCAGGGGAGACACGACCACACAAATTATGGTATAAACTATTTAATTACAGTTGTGCTCCAAAGAAGTAAAACAGCAAGCCGTGAGCACAAATATTACAGGGATGTAACCACAACTAGGGGCAGAAAAGTCTCCCCTCAACAAGTGATAATCAAGCTTAGAATTGGGGTAAGGTTTGGGAAGGCAAAAAGCTGCAGGGTGGAGAACATTCTAGGCAACAGGAAAAGCATGTGCAAAGTCCCCATGGCTGGAGGGTGGCGAGTCAGGAGAAGGGAGCAGCAGGGAACGAGGCTAAAGGGACAGGAAGGGCCAAGTGTACAAGGTGAAGATTCCGGGCTTTATGTTTAGTCACTGCAGGATTTCAGCAGGGAGTACGTGATCAGGTGTGGGGTGCACGGAGCATGGAGTGAGGAGCATACAGAGGTGGGGAGGCCCTAACATTCCCGTCTTGAAAGGGGAGAACAGAGCCGTTGGTCTTTCCAGCTCTAAGCTCTGGCCTCCCTTTCACGCCATCCCATTAGTGTTCTAATTTGGGTCCAGCCCCCATTCCCATTCTCCGGAACCTCTCCCCCTGCTAGACTGACTGGAGTAAGACCAGGAGAAGGGGGAGCTGGGGTGGAGAACAACAACGATTTCTCTCTTCCATGTGTTCTCTCCCCTGTTCCACTCACATTCATCTCCTCTCACCTCCATAGATCCCCTCTTCCTCGAGCACCATCTCACACGCATAAAACTGAAAAAGAAGAGGGAGTTGAGTAT